GGGTGCACTGGGCAGAAGAAGGTGAAGGGTGAGCCCCTCAGGGCCGAAGCATGGCTGTCCCATTGGAGTGATGGTCTCCTACAGATCCTCAGGCAGGAAAGGAGAGCCAGGAGAGCCAGGAACCTGCCTTCTGTTGCCCAGGCCTCTGGCCTCCCCCGGCCTGGGCGAGCAGAGCCGGCAGACACTGGCCCACCTTGCTGGGTGACACCTGCAGCCCCTCCCTACTCCCTCTGGACCTCGACTCCTGTCCGGATGCCAGGATGTGGGGAGAGGAGCTGTGGGAACCCACGACCCCATGGTTGGGCGGGCCTGCTGAGGGACTGGTTCAGCCAGAGCGGCAGGGCACGGAGGCTAGCCCGGCCTGCATATGTTAGCACTGGGGAAATTCCCTGTGGGGGCCCAGGGCCCACGGAGGGTGGGGCCTGCTGCCCACGCCTGGATGGGCGCAGTGGAGCTCACCAGCCAGCCAGGTGCCCGAGCGCGGGAAGGAGCTGCCATTGTCCATGGAGAGTGTGAAGGGAATGCGGCCAGTCTCATAGAGCAACGGTGACACACAGTGCACGTGTCCCAAGGAGTCCACGTGGCCACGCGTCTGGACGCTCTCATTAAACCTGTGGTGGTGGAGGTGGCAGGAGAGGCTGGGCCAGGGTGGGCTGACCCTCTCTGAGACGTGGGCCCCCAACCTCCTGGGGACCCCATCAGGCCAGCTGTCCCTGTTCTCGGTCCGAGGGGCTCCACCCTGCCGGCCAGTGGGTCTGGGCCCTCAGCATGCACGGAGCCCTGGCTGCCCAGCCCCTCAGATCTCCCACCTGCAGATCACGCCATCTGTGGGGCTGAACCAGTTGAGATGCTGCACTACGAAGTCCTTGCCGCCCATCATGGAGCCCGAGTAGGGCAAGATCTCCAGGCAGAAGTCCCGAAAGTCCTTGCAGCAGGAGTCCAGGCCGAAGCAGGTCGGGTGGCAGGAGCATAGCTCGTTCCACTCCCCACAGCGGTGGGAGCAGCTTTCCTGGGCATCTGGAGGAGAGGGCCCTGAGCGCCTGGCCCGGGCGGGTGCTGGGCCAGCTGCCCCATGCCCAGGGCCCACGTCTTTTTCCCTTGGAGCCCATTAGGGAGAAGCATGCCTGGGAGAATGCTGGCCAGAATTGCCCTGACCACCACGTGGACACAATGGAAACCCACAAGGCCTGTGGGGTGCGGTAATTCTCAGTGCAGATAATCCAACAGTTGGCTTGAATGACCCACCAGCTTGAACAAGGAGAGATAAGGGAAATGCCTCCAGGTGTACAACTTTGCAGCATCAGAAGGAGCCCCCAGGGCAGGGCTGACCCTCAGCTACCAAGTCCCAAACCCAAGGGCGTCCTCAGACAGCCACAGGTGCCTGTCCTTGACATGGGTCAAGGAGCTGTCTCCACTCCCTGAAGGTCTCTGGCCCTGCAGCCTGAAGAAGGACCCTCCTGGCTTGCCTGGTCCGGATCTGGGGACATGGCTACCAAGAGTCCATTGGAGGCTGGTAGGGGCTGGTGCCCAGGCAGGAGATGGCAAAGTGTGCCCCCCTCCTCTCAGGGGGAGGAGGGGCATTTCTAGCAGAAGGCCCAGCAGGGCCAGGATGGGGAGAGCGGTCTAGTGGGGGGCTGTGGACATAGGCCCCAGCCTTTTCTGCTGTGGGGACCCGTGACAGGGCCATATTTTCAGGGGATCCATCCCTCTAGACCTGGCATGGCCAGGTGGGTTAGAGGGTACAGACTGGCGCGGGAAGCAGGCACTGAGGTTGAAATCACACATCCCACCCGGCCCTTCCCTGCCACTCCCCCAACGATGGCTAGTCAAGGGCCAGATCTGGGCCTGAGCCAGCCTGGTGGCCCCACTTCACCCAGTGCCGGCCTGGCACTCAAGAGCATCAATAAATATTTATTGACTGAGGATGTGAGGACTCACGGGGGTGGGGAGGCTGAGTGATGCTGGTAAAGGTGAGATAAGTGCAGGAGGGTGGTGGCACTCCTCTCTCCTCTGAGACGGGAGTGTGGGCCTTCCCTGGGATTGTCTTAGTTCACCTCCCTCCCCATAAGGACCCACAATCCTGCCTGTCGCTGGGCAGAGGGCCCAGTGGGGCTGGGAGGCTCCTCCATGTGCAAGTGCAGCTCTCCTGAGCCCACCACCACCCTAGCTCCCTCCCTCTGAGGCAGCCACTGCCTCCTCACTCCCAGGGAGTTTGGGGTGGGCACGACCCAGACCCCCATTCCTGCTGGCGGCCCCTTGATCTTGGGATCCCCAGAACTTCTTACCACGCCAACTACAGTCACAGATGGCCTGACAGATGGTCAGAAGCTGAGCCTAGAGGGTTGTCTGCCCTGGGCTTGGCTGCAGCAGGCAGACGGACAGACAGGGGGACAGAAGGGCAGAGTAGGGGCGTACCTGCTGCAGGCCAGCGGCCTGGGCTGGGGGCCGTCACCAGCAGCAGCAGGGCCCAGGGCAGGAGGAGCAGCTTCATCGTGCGGCCTGTGTCTGCAGCTGGAGCAGCAGAAGCTGTGGAGGCGGCAGACCAGCTCACTCCTCATGGCCCGCCAACGCCTGCCTGTCGCCCCGCCCCACCCCACCCTGTCCGGTCCCTTCTCAAAGTCCACAGGTGCCCGCCCGCCCACGTGGGCCAACAGGGCCCAACCTGCCCTGTTAGCACATTCCTGGCCCATTGGCCTCGGACAAGGGAAGGGAGCCCAAGCCTCCAGCTGCTGGATTTCTGGCACTCGAGAAGCCGGATGTCCAGAGGCTGCAGCTCAGACCTCTGGATCCCAAACGGGCCCTGTTCTGGGCGTCCAGGGTAGGGCTCACACAGAGGAGGGGACGCCGCAGGGTGGGTAAGGCTAAGGTGGGATTGTCCCTTCAATCCCGGGATTCCAGCCCCAAGGCATCCAGCTGCAGACTTGCATCTCTAGTCCTCGGCTTCCCTGCAGGGAGCAGGAGTTCCCAATTCTTGTGCACAGCCTGGTGGGGCGAAGGAGCAAGTAACGTCACACAGGGCGCCTGCCTCGGCCCCGAGAGTCTGGGTTCTAGAGGAGGGCTCCCTCTCGGGGAGGGTTGAGCTGTCAGATCAGCCACAGCTTCACAGGCATCCCCTTGGGAGGGGTGGGTAACCGTGGCGGGGTTGGGCTGGGGGGCTTAGACCAGAACTGTGTGTTTCCCCCAGGCGGTTGGGCTAGGTCCCCTGGGTGCTCACAAAACTAGGCCAGTCCCCCAGCTCCCTGGGCAGGGGAACTTGGAGAGGAGCCACCCAGCCCCAGCAGCCCCTGCACTGTCACTCATGGAGTTTGCATAATCTCTTCACTCTTCCCCTCCCTTCTCATTGTGCAGGTGTGGAAACTGAGACCCAGACTGAGATGGGTGGGGCCAAGGTCACCGGGAGAGGCAGCCGGGCTGGGCCAGGCCCCTGGGAGGGCTCAGGCTTGAGACTCTTTGGGGCCCTGCCACCTGGGTTGGGCATCGGGACAGGCAGACAGTCCTCTCCCCAGTGGCAGCTTCTCAAGATGTCCAAAGGGGACATGTCCTGGGACCTCGTAGGGAGCTGAAGCTGGCCGGGGGCATGAGCTGAGGCTGTCTGGCCATGACCGCCTCAGCTCTTAGGGTCAGGCCAGCCCTGTTTCCTGGGCACCGCCCCTCTTGCCTGGTGGGTGTGCCTGCAGTTGCTCCAGAGAGGCAGGCTCCTACAGGTGTCAGGGAAGCCAGCTGGGTAAGTGGGGAACCACAACTCACAAGTTGCTTGCTGGCCACTCGGGCACCTCTGTGGGCGGGTGCCCTGGGTGTGAATACTGAGGTCCTGAGCTGGGGGGCAGCCCGGATCTGGCCTGGGGGCTGGTGCTGGGGCTCATCCCAGGCTCAGGGCTGAGGGTGCTCTAGGGCACAGTTTAGGGGAGACGGTGGGCATGCTCCTGGGCGGGTACAGGGGTCCTGCAGGTCCGAGAACCAGAAAGGGCCCTGGGAGACTGCCAGGTTGTTCCCAGGAAGGGGGCTGGGCCCTGGAGGAAGATTGCCCCTTCCTCTTTCTAACCTGGGCACTCTGGCCACACGAATGAGAGAATGAAAAAGAGAAGCCAGGAGTACAGTTGAGGGTCTCCATGCCCTGGGCCCTGCCGGGTGAGCGGGCACCTGAGTAACCAACTCCTGGCCCCGTTAGCTGAGGCTGCCTTGCGAAGGGCCTGATCAGGGCAGGTTCAGCGAGGACCCATTCAAGGCCGCCGTGCTTCTGGGTTCCCATGGTGGTTGTGCCAGGCCCGGGCTGGGGACCCCAGCAGTGCAAGGAGAGTCCTCATCTTCATTCTGGACAAAGACCATTTCAGGGGATGCCCCAGCGGATGGGGGCCAGTCCAGAGCTGTGGGGTGGCGGCTGGGCCCCCAAGGCACTGGGGCTTGATATTGTGCAGAAGGGCAGCTTGGGGCCCCTAAAACCTGTGCCTCCTCAAAACAGAGGGACTGGCGCCTGGGAGAGCAGAGCCAGCATCGTGGGCTTGTCCAATGCTCTGCTGTCACCTTTAAAACATTCTTAATTGTTGAACAAGGGGCCCCACAACTTATGTAGCCGGTTTTATCAGAGGACGAGTGTGGTGGGAGGTAAGTGGCCCCCACTGTGCCTCCCTTCCCCTCCCCCCAGTTCACCCTTCCTGACACAGACTCTGCCTCTCAGGAGCCCCCAGGGGCCCTGTCTCATCAGGGTGCAAGTCAGCTCCTCAGCACGGCCTGGACCTGCCTGCCCCTGACCCCAACTCCAGAGGGACACGCCCTCACACCTGTGTCCTACAGGGGGCACCCCTGACAGGCTCACCTCCAGCCTTATCTGGAAGGGTCTGCCCTGCTGGGTTCCCTGACCTGTGCTCACCTCACACCCCACTAAGTGCTCCCCGACCTGCTCCCTGGGGTGCGCAAGGGCCGGGCCTGACCCATGGGAAGAGAGGACCAGAAACTGGCCCGCAATCTGCTGAGGCAGGCCCTGCAGCGAACAAAGAAGCAGAAACTGTTCCATCTTTATTAGAAAAAAACAAAAAAAGGGCATGGGGTGAGCCCAACCCTAAATGCGACCTCCACTGTGACTGAGGCGAAGGCCGGATTCTCCGGGCGGCGGGGTGTGGACACGGCCACCTGGGCAGGGTGGGCATTTACAAAGTCAACATTTCATAGAAAAGGAGGTGGCCCTGCTGTGCAGACTTCAACCCATCCATCTCCGTGTGGCTGAGCTCAGCCTCTGGGCCCCTCAGCCATGGTGGGGACAGCCCCACCCAGGTGGGCAGGGAGGACACCGCACGGGGGAAGGCAGAGCACACCGAGGGCTGTGTGGGGAACAGTGGGGCGGGGGGCGGGTGGCCCTCCTCAGATGTCCATGTAGTCGTCATCCTCATCCGTCTCGCTCTCCAGCGAGGACTCCTGGCTCGATGTCTCCAGGACCTCCAGGGCTGGCTGGCACAGGCTCTCCTTCCTCACATTGGCGGCCGACTGGGCAGACAAGATGGCCGACTGCGCAGACCAGGCAGGGCACTGGTCAGGAGGCCTGGCCCCAGGCTCCCTGCAGCCCACGCCCCTGCCTGTGCCCCCCTGTTGCCCACGCCCCTGCCCCCCACGTGGCACCCAAGGTCACCTTCAGCTTCTGCTTGGTCTCCTCCGAGATACTGCCTTTGGGCGAGAGCAGGGTTGGGGTGGGCGGCGTGACGGTGATCTCAGGGGGGAACTTGGTGGCAGCCGAGGGGATTACCAGCTTTGGCATGTTGGGCAGGAGACGCGACTTGGCCCGGTTGGGCTCTGCCTTGCCTGGGTGGCCCTCAGGTGGCTGGGCACTCCCGCTGCTGGGCACCTTGGAGCTGGTGACTGTGGGGTAACCGGAAGAGGCTGAACCTCGCTCACAGCCTCCCAGGCCTGCCCGCCTCTCCCCCACTCGGGCCTCAGTTTCCCCTCTGGAAGACAGGCACCAAGAATACCTCCTCCGGCTACATCAGATCAAGGGTGTATTCCCTGGGCCTTTCTGCCTGTGCTGGCAGGCAGGCTCCAGGCTTCCTTGTCTCTCTTTGCCTCCCCAGCTGCCTGGCTCTGGCTCTGGGCCGTGGGGTGTGGGGACTAGGACACACCGCCTCCACCAACAGGAGCACGGTGCACTCTGGGAGCCCAGGGCCTGGGACACGGGTGAACCCCCTGAGCTTTCCCAGGGATTCCACAGGCACTCCAAGCATATAGCATTAACTCTTACATCCCTGTGACCATCCTAGGACGCATGTCCTAGTGGTGTCAACACCACAGGAGACGCTGAGGCCCAGAGCCCCAAGGTAGCAGCCCTGGGGCCACAGTCTCTGGGGAGCTGCATGAGCTGGGAGCAACCCACAGCCTGGCTGATCTCCACATTCCTCCGCGGCCCCATGGCTTTAAAAGGAGTGGGGCTTACTCAGAGCCTGAGCCTGGCCCCCTTGGGCTGGCGCCAGCCGCTGCTGTCTTGAGTGAGGTCTGTGAGAGGCCCCAGCCCTGAGGAGTCCCCGAGGGGCCTGGCTGGTGGGGCAGCTGGTGGGAACAGGCTCTGCCTTGGACGCAGATGCCTGTCTGGCCTGGCCCAGCCCAACCGGCCGCCCCTCTGCCTGCCCCTCCTCTGGCCCTATCGGGGCAGGGGCAGCCCTCCCCCTCGCTGAGCAGCCTCAGCCTGCGTTCTGCAATGGGCTGGCCGTCTGCCCCCGCTGCTCCCTGTGTGAAGCTGAGGGTGCAACATGGGGCTCTCGGGGCCCTTCTCCTCCACCCGCACCCCCTCCTGCCACAATGCTCCCCACCGAGCTCTTCAGCCTGGCCTCCCCGCCCAGCCACCTTCCCCGTCTGCCTCATCACTGGGCCCTCCTCAGGCCCCGCCCTGCCAGCCCCACGGCCACTCTTCCAGGGGAGGGAGGTGCCTCTGCAGGGAAGCCCACCCTGCCTGCTGGCTGTGGGGGCAGTGCTGGGCTGCTCCTGAGTGGCTCTGTTACCTTGGCTGCAGGTGGGCTCGGTGCCTGTCCGGGGGGTGGCCTCTGCTGGCCAGCAGCGCGGCTCTGCTGGGGGGCCCTCAGGGGCCATCTTCACCTGCTCACGGCACTGTGGCTCCTGGGGTGGGAAGCTGGCACCCTCTGCCCCTCCTGCCAGCTCTTCTCCCTCTGTGGGGACACAGGGCGGCTTGGGTTACGTCCTCCGCCAGCCTGTGGGACAGGCTCCCTCCTTGCCCTGGGGCACCCGGCAGGGACCTGTGCCGAGGCAGCTGTCCACCTCCACCTGAGTGGCCCGTGGGCTGGCAGAGGCTCCTTGGAACAATTGCTTGGTGGGGCCAGGCTGGTACTGGCAGGAAACCGCTCATGCCCTGGTGGACACTGGCGGGGCCAGCTCCCCACCGGGACTGCTGTGCACCTGACACAGCAGGGGCAACACCAAGACTGTGCCCAACTCCCCTGTTCACGGGAGTGGCCATCAGAAAGACCATCAGGACCCCAAACCAAACCACCCCGCTAAGACAAAGCGGATGGAGAAGTGCGCTGGCTCCACACCCTCCTGCCAGGCTACACCTGCCCTGGGAACTGGCCTCAGTCGTGCCAAGGCCTGGATGGGCCCATGGGTAAAGCCTGCGCCATGGCCGCCAGCCAGGCCGTCAGTCAGTGTGGCTCGCACTGGCTCCCAGGCCCTGCCTCCACCTTCCGCTCGCGCCCGGCGGTGTCCAGGCCTCCTGGCACTCCTGTTCCTTGCGTTGCTCTCCTCTTCCTTCTCACTGGGGCTCAGAATCTGCTGCCACTCAGCCATCGCCCCACTACTCTTCTACTCCCCAACTCTGCCCATCAAGCACCTTGCCGTTCTCCAGCCGGTGAAGCCAGCCTGCCTCCTTGTCCAGCAGGAGTGACAGCTCCTGGGGTGGGGACAAAGACGGGCCACAGAGTAGCCCTGGCCTCCTGCCTGTTGGCTTCCAGCTCCTGGAGGACAGAGCCTTCCCTGGCTGAGCCAGGAGCCACTACTTCTCCACCTTGGGTCTCATCACCTGGCAATCACGGTCTCAGCCTTTGTCCCCAGGGTCCAGCCCCATACACCATGGCAAGCAGGAATGCACACCTTGGAAGGCTCCTCCGGCTGCCCTCCTGGACCCCAGGGAGTAGAGAGAACAGCCTGTGGCATTGGGGCAGGGCTCTAGTCACCATATCTGGGCATGTACCCACGAAGCAGGCCCGTGGATGTCTGGTCCAGGCCCTTCAATGGGCAGCAACACCCTGCCTGCCTGGGCCCAACACTCTCTTCACACGGCGGTTCCCTGAGGGCCTGGCCAAGTGGCCTGGAGGGGCTGCTAGGGTGGGGTGGGCCGGAGGACGTGCACCTGGCTGCCTCGCTGATAGGAATCTACAGGACAGGGCTGTAAGGAGGGGGCTGGGAGCAGCAGAGCAGGGCCTGGGGCTGGCAGGAGGGGCGGAGGCTGCCCCCAGTGGGGGCAGGTGTCAGGCATTTGCTTCCTCTCACCCCGGGGTCTGTCTGCCCTTCCCAGGCCCTTCCTGCTTGGTGGGCCTCCAAAAGGCGGAGGGATACTTGGGACAGGGTGTCCCACAGAGACTCAAGCACACGGGGAGGTGCTCCCCAGGCCAGGTGGCCCCCTCCTCTCCCCCAGGCCACCCAGGTGGCTCTGTGAGGAGGGGACCTGGCTGGGGGCTCAGTCTTCAGAGAAAGGCCATCTGAGGTGCCCCTAGACCTCCAGGCCTCAGGTTCTCTGTCTGTGGGAAGCAGGTGGCCAGGCTGGAGTCCTGTGTAATTGGGCAACTCTGCCTGCTCCCTGGGGCAGACTACTGAGCTGGGTACTGGGCCCCGAAGGCCTGGTGTCCTAGATGCCCCCGCCCTGGCTTCTCAGGACTGGCCTCGAGTCTGCATTCCAGCCCCTGCAACCCTGCGGCACAGGCACCCAGCACAGGCAGGCACTCCCAGGATCTGAGTCCTTTCACAGGCTGGTCACACGGCCTGCAGTGGCACTCTACGCACCATCCTGTTCCACTCTGCCCACCCTGGAAGGCCTGCTGGCCTCAGTGAGAGGTACTTGCACTCACCTGTGAGCCAGGCACTGTTCTAGTGGCTGGGCAGTCAGCATGAAACCATGGCCCCTCTGGGGGAGACATGTTCAGGAGCCTGCCTGGCTGCCCACGAGTGACCCTGAGCCCCCAGAGGAAGTGACCTGCTGCACAGGGCCAGCAGCTCTGGTCAGCACAGACTGGGCAGATGAGGGGAGGTCTTTGCCAGTGACCAGGGAAGCCGGAGTGCACCCCCACCCACCTGCAGGCCGCGGCAGGCGGGATAAGGTGGGACCAGACACTGTCGGCTGCTGCCAGCCACCTTCCCCTGGCTGGAGCTGGAAGGCCTGTGTGAGGGAGCCCCTGGTGGGAGCCAGGGCTACTCACCCTGGCAGAGCACCTGTCAAGGTCTCTTCTGTGGCCTCTCCCCACTCTCTTGGACCTTGGGGAAGGCATCCTGGGAGAATCTGTCCTCAAGCCTGCTTTCCTAGGTGGCTCACGACCTCACGTGCTGCCATCCCCGGCTTCAGCTCCAGGCCTGCAGACCCCCCCACCACGGGGCGCTCTGCAGGACTGTCCAGCCAAATCTATGCCCGATTCTGGGCTGCTTGCCCAGAGCGGCAGATGTGGTCACACTGCCAAGCCACCTGTCACATGTAGGGAAGCAGGACCTTGCTGGGTGGCTCCTTCCTGGCACTTTCCCCGTTCTGGGGGTTGTGAGAGGTGGGCTCTGGGGAGAGGGTGCCCACGACAGCTTGGCCCTGATCCCACCCCAGAAAGCTCTGGGAGCTCTGGGAACCATCGAGGACACCCACCCCGACATGGCCAGCCAAATGCCACCTGCTGGTGGACCCCGCGGCAGCCCCGGGAGGCGGGCAGTCACTCCTCACGGCAGGTGTGGCGGTGCAGGGAGGGCTGGTCGGGTTGTGTGCCCAACGCCTGGCTCAACAGGAGGCCCCAGTGCAAGGCCACGTGGCACATATGCTCAGCCCAGGGCCGCTCCCCAACTCGTGTGTCATGTGAGAGTTCCATCCTAGCAAAACACTCTTTCATTTAGTTTTGGGGAAGGAAACAAAAGACAATCGACTCTCCAGGCTGAAGAATATACACCAGGAAATATATACTCTTCCACAGATCTAGCAGACGAAGAAAGATGTCAATCACAGTTTTGGGCCTGCTTGCGGTGGGACCGGGCAAGCAGGAGAGGGAAGGCAGGTAGGTTCCAGGGAGGCCCCCGTCCTGGTACTGAGAACCTCCCACCCACGTGCCAGGTCACGTGTGGCCAACACCAGTGAGGGGCAGTCACCTCTGATAGCAGGTTATAAAGGGCACAGCGGCTCCTTCGTGCACACTGTCTCTCTGTCTCTGGGATCACGGGTTCTGGAGGACGCAGCAGCCACAATGCGGGGACACTCAGCAGCCTATATATGGAGAGGCCTGCAGTGGGGAACTGAGGCCTCTAGTAGAGAGCCGGCGAGACCTGAGGCCTGCCCACCAGCTGGGTGAACCCAGGTGACCAGCTAAGCGCTGGATGCTCCAGAATTCCTGATCCACAGAGACTACACGATCATGGAGGGCAGCCTGAGGTGGAGAAACAAGGGAGGGACAGGAGCTGGGTCTTTATGGAGTGACTTTCCTCCCTGGGCATGGACTCTCACTGCCACTGCCCTCTGAAATCACCACCACTACAAAGACCCACACTGTGGCTATGCTCCCGCCAAGCACTGCTCTGAACTCCATGGTACCATCACCTCCATCTCACACATCGTGTGCTGGAAACTGAGCTACAATGAGAGATGCAGGAGAACAGGGACAGCCCAGGTCAACCGGTTGTTGAACCACCACTTACAGTTCTTCGACTGCTCTTTGTTCTGTAGCCTTCAGAGGCTCCTCTCAGAACAAATGGCTGCAGGAACTGACCCAAGGGGGAGCGATTCTTCATCTCATGGGGCCAAGACCCATGGCAACTGTAACTGACTGGGCAGAGGGTCCCTACGCTTCCACGATCGTCCATGGGAATGGCTTTAGGTGAAAACATCAGCGCTTGAGATCTGAGATGCAGGGAAGAGCTGAGAGAGGGGGAATGCTACCCGTGGCCTCCATTCAGGCAGAGTGGCCTGGTCAGCTCTGGCTCCTGCTGGCATTTCCGCCAGGGGTGGCTGTCTCATTGTGCAGTGGGTCAGGAAATGGCACAACCAAGGTGGCAGGGCTGAAAGCGGGAGCCCCAGATGTTAGCCTCCATGTGGGACTGGAACCAGGAGGGCAGACAGGCCTTCATGGAGGAAGGGCCTATGCAGGGCTCGGCAAGGATGTAGGCCGGGTCCAAGGGGCAGGGTGGGAGAGGCAGGGGCCGGGACGGAGGGTCAGTATAGCGCCTTGCCAGCTGCCCTCCAGCCCGCCAGCCTGTGAGGCGCCTCCTCAGTGCCCATCCTAGAAAGCCGCAGGCCTGCCTGCCCCTCCCTGGTGTGCCGGCTGCCCCTGCCGCAGGCTGCCATTCCTAGGGGCGGCCTGGGGTAGAAGGACCCCCTCCTGCGGGTGGCACTGCCTTGCCCTGTCCCTTTTCCTGCACAAGTCTCCAGCTGGCTGGCTTCTTTCTGTCTTGCCCACGGGGCGCAGGGGCCTGGGCAGGTCTGCCCCACACCCTAGCAGGTGCCCAGGGATGGCTCGCAGGCCTGTGCCCAGGGTCAGGACTCCTCCCCTCTCCCAAATCCATCTCCCCTACTGATCTATTGGTCATAAGGTTTCGTGGGGCAGAGAGCAAAGGCAGCTGCCAACAGTGGATGTCAGAGCTCACTACCCCCCCCCACCACTCCCTTTACGGATGGGAAGATTGAGGTGCTGGAGCTAGGGGAAGAGACTGCTGGGCGCAGAATGTGCTCCTGGGGTGAGTGGCCGATGAGCAGACCAGCAAATCCCCCCTCAGGCTCCTAGGACGTGCTTCACCAGAGGGAGAAGAAGTACATCGGCCAAGTCCATGCCCCCCTCCCGCCCCTGCCAGATATCCATGTAAAAAGTGGGACCTCACTGCCAGGTGGATAGGACGGGACTCACCTGGGCTCAGAGACGCCATGCTGGGAGTGGCCTCAGTCCTGGGTGGCTGGGGGGGCCTGGGGTCTTTGGACGGGTCTGGAGTAGAGGCTGACACTGAGGGAGGGCAGGTGATGACGGCTGTGGTAGCAGCCGGCACAGGGCGAGGCTTGGTGTGGGTGTCACTGGGCCGTTGGAGCCCATCGGCTGGGATAGGGTCAGGGGCTGTGGGGGCCACAGCTGCCGGAAAGAAGTTCTCTCGGCTGTCCTTGGGGTGCTTTGGAGTGGTGGGTGTGTCCCCTGCAGCCTGTGAGGACAAAGAGGAGGTGAGGAAAGTCAGCTGGTTGGCCCTGAGCCCACACTGTCCCACAGGACACCTATCTGGGCCCAGGACCACCAACATGGCCCTCATGGTGCCATACTCTTGGCTCCCGATGCTGCCAACAAGGCCCATAGGCAGCCCTTCAGGATTCTGCTAATGCTAGGACACTGCTGGAGACCCAGGATCCCTGCCTGGGAAGATGTCCAGGCTGTACTGGTGGGGACTCAGTGGAAAGGCCTCAGGTGGCTTAAACTCCAGCTAGCCTCATCCGCCCACTCCTGGGTGCCAGCCTGAGAGGAGCATGTTGGTCACGACTCAGATCACGGGCTCGTAGTGCCTGATGTGGGGACTACAGTAATGGGAGGTCAGTCTGGAAGATGACTTCTAAAGGGCCAACTGGGAGAGGGTCCTGAGGGAGCGGGGGTGACACCACAAAAGTCAGGTCCCTGGGCTGAAGACTGCAGCCCCAAAGCTATGGCACCTGGTGCAGCCCCCAGCCATGCCCATCCTGCCTGCAGCCCGCCCTCGGACACCCTCGCAGCTCCCTGCCACAGGCTTTGGGTTCTCAGGCAAGCCAGGACCTTTGGGGCTCCCCTGGTCTTGTCCACACAGTTCCTTCTGCCACCAGGCCCCTTCTAATCTGCACCCAAAGCCCATCCTCTGGGGACCAGTTTGATGGCTGCAGCTCCTGAGGGTGGGCTGCAAGGTAGGGCAGGGGGTCCCACCCAGCCTGCTGGCAGCAGAGCTCAGAGGCTGGGCCCCAGCACAGAGCCACTGGCCCCAGGCCTCAGGCCCCCAGCCCCCAGCCCACTGGACTATCTGAGCCGGTCCCACCAGGACCAGTGGGACCCCTCACTGCGGCTGTGAGTGCTGGAGAGTCTCACGCCCGCCGCAATGACCCTGGCTCTTCTGACATTTGTTATGCTTGAGATGCCTGTCCCCAGCTCTGTGTCGTGCAGGACACGGGCCCCTGCAACTTTGTTGTGCGGTGGGTGTCTGGGATGACGCCGGGCCTCCAGTGGGAAGACAGGCAGGCATGACAGACCTGTATCTCAAGGGCAGACACGCAGGGAAAAGGTGAGTGCTGTGTTCCTGTCCTTGCGGGAGCAGGCCCTGCCTTGACAGCACTGAGCCTCTAATTATGTCCTGAGCGCCCTCCAGGTGTGCACCGGGCTGCCATGGCAACTGGGACATGCCTCCAGTAAAACAGACACTCCCTGAGGGGCGGGAGCAGTGGCCGCCTCCTCCCCAGCACTGTCCATAGGCAGGCCCAGGACAGCTGTGATGGTCCACTCACCTTCCCTGAGGTCACTTCCCAGGCTTCTCTGACAGGCCAGGCCCCAGCAGGCTGCTGGTCCTCTTTGGGCCTCAACCTCCTCCCGTAAGAAATGGGACCTCCTCCTTGCCCTTGTCTCCTGTCAGCTCAGCACCCCTTTCTCCTCAGCCCAGGGAAGGGGTAAGGTATTTGGGGGTTTCCTGTGTAATTCTATCATTTTGGGCACCTTAAAAGTCAACATCAGAAACAGCCCTCCTCTCTCTGGAGTGGTCACTGCCCAACTGCCCACCTGCCCCCATCTGAGTTGGCGGAGGAGGAAGAAGGGGACCCCTGGGTCTGAGCCCTGGATCAGGGCCAGGGGCAGTTACTCCTGTCTCATGCAGCAGAAGCTGCGGGGAGGCCCATGCAGACCACGGGAAGCATGGTGGCTGCATTGTGAACTCTGGCGACTTGGCAACAACAGAGTGGTGGGGACTGCCCACGGGCTGGGGCACGTCTCTCCAGGGATTCCAGCCCTCAGCTGGGGGATCAGTCCCACCTGTGTGGCCTACAGCCCGCCTGGTCAAGGTTGAGGCCCTGGGATTCCCCAGACCTTGAGCCCAGGCGGAGGTAGTAGCCCAATGCTCTATTCCACTGATAGGAAGCCTGTCTGGACACCAAGGGTGGCCACCAGCCAGCTGCTGGGAGACCTGGGATGTGGTCCCCTGGGCTGCAGCTACATGCCCACTGCCCTGAGCTCCTGCCTTGGACCCGGGATTCCCTGGTGACGCACTGCCCCAGGGGAAAGCACTGAGGGCGGGCTGCGGTGTGGTCAAGTGGGGGAGGGCAAGGTCTGCTCCTTTGTGCTGCTGGGGCAGGCACAGTTGGGCCACCACTGGGGGACAAGAGACCGCACTTATTCAAATGGCAAGCACCTGCCCTTTGACCTAGCAACCCCTGCCTGGGGGTTACTCCTGCAGAGATGCCCATGTTTGGTGTAGGAAGATGTCCCCTTGGTACTATTTAATAGGGGCACTGTGGTGCCGCCAACCCCACTTTAGACAGGGCACCTCTTTTTCTGCTGGCCAGATCCTACCCACAGGCCTTCCTTTGAGCTGGGCCTCTCCCAGGAGACACCTCTCCTTCAGCCCCAGCCCCATCACTCTTCAACACCCTGGCCTCTGAGCCCAAATCCAGCGGGCCCCAGCCTTGCTGCCCTGGTGTGCTGGCCGGCCAGCCCCTGGGTGTGCTCTCCTTCCCGGACACCACTCTGTCCTGTCCTGATTCTCCCTGAGCCAAGAGCCTGGCCACGGTGCTCGGCCCTGCCTGCCCTCTGCTGGCCCCACATCAGTGGCTTCAGGGGTACCCATACCCAGGGCTCCAGCCTGACCATCCCTCTGGGCGTGGGTCCCCGACCTTTCTGCCTTTCTGAGAGAGTCTCAGACTCAACACAAACCCAGTGTTGACCCCAGCTTGGGGCCTTCCCAGGAGAAGATCCGTCCACCAGAACCCAGTGGGGGCTCACCCCTCTTCCCTGTCACCAAGTCACACTTCTTGTGACACCTTCTCATGTCTCTTGGACCCACCTGTCCACTTGTCGTTCACCTGGCCTCAACACCAGCCCATCCTTTCCACCCAACAGTAGGGAGTCTTTCCAAGACACAATGAGATCCTGTCACTGCCACGCTCCTTCCCCTGCTGAATAAACACCAGAACCGGCACCTACTCTGCTCCGAATCACCTGCACATCCCAGCTCCATCACTTCTTCCACCTCTGTCCCAAACGGAGTGAGCTTTCCAGGTGAGGTCAGCTGAATAGGGAGCACCCCGTTTAGAGAACAGGTAACTGAGGTGAGGAGGCTCCTCAGGTCACACACACAGAGCGGGCTCTGGGGCTCCCTGAGGTTCAGATGCCTAATGCCCATCTCTTCTTGGCCCACGGTGACCACAGGAATGTCCCTGCCTGGGGCACATTTGCTTCTCAGCCTGCAGCCGGGGTGTTGGTGTATGGTAGGCCCTGTACAATGAGGCTGGCACAGGCGGGATCAGGCTTACCTGTCTCTGGGCAGCAGCCCCGAGGTGGACTTGACAGAACTTCACGGCCTGCTCCAGCGCAGCCTCCTCGTCCACCTGAGCAAGCAGATGCCGAGGTCAGAGGACCCAGGCTGTGGTGGCCAGCCTCCTCCCGGCCCCTGGAGTGTGCAGACCAGCTCCCAAGAGCCCTCCTGCTGCTGAGCCCCTGGGGTCCCAGCCCTGCCTGGGAAGCACGGGCAGGTGCACACCTATCTCCCAGGGCCACTGCTATGGGCCCATCTGGCCATGCCAAGTTTACTTCTGTGGCCCTGTGATGTTTGTCCTCAGGGGCTGAGGCTGGCAGGATCTGAGCCAGACCCTGCCCCTCAAGCATGCAGGATGGAGGGAGGGTCTTTAAGAATCTGAGGTCTGGGTGGTGGCAGGTCTGATTCGACCGGAGACCAAGAGCCCAAGGCACAGGGAGGTGGAAGGACGCCCTGGAGGCATGGGGCCGCCCTGGATGGGCAGCGGGCGGGGTGGGAAGGGGACAGCAGAGTGTTGGGAGTGGCCAGGCCGGCAGCGTGGGGTAGGCAGCGTGGGGTAGGCAGCGTGGGGAAAGGGCCTGCCCTCACCAGCAGCCAATGCAGTGCTTGGTTTTTTTCTAATTAATCAGTAACAAGAACAAATAAAAGTTAATATTGGACACTAGTGAGGTGGTGATGAAACAGACACTCTCAAAGCGGCACTGCAAATTGAAACAAGTTAGGAAGAAGTTGCATATCAGGACGGTCACCCCATTTGAGCCAGTCACTGCAGATCTCGGGGTTCTTCTTTGGAAATCACTTTAAATAGAGAAAAAGCTATGCCCAATGCAGTGAAAAAAACGAAGGCAAAACAAGAAGAGCATTAGAGCCACCTGACAGACTCAGGGCGCTGCAGCCACCTTCGGAAGATGGCCACAGAGGTCTCTGACGGCCGTGGGGTCAGGGCCTGTCTTCCTGCTCTGGATTTGATAAGATCTTTGCAGAGGGCTTTAGTTCCTTTAAAGTTGCATATGGGCTTTAAAGCTCGTTGTTTTTCCTTGTACATTTTCCCTAGCTTTACCGAGGTATAGCTGACATGAAACTATAGTATATTTGAAGCGTACAACATGATGACCTGACAGGCACTGTAGGAAACCTCAAATGTAGGGCAGTGAACAGCAGGGGTGGGTGGGAACGGTACCTAACCCCCATGCTCATGGGCAGGGCCTGGCATCCCTGGACCCTCCACGAGAACAGAGCCACCAGACCCACCCCATGGCCACCTACCTGCTTGATAAGCATGTAGGTCTCGGACATGATCCTCTCAATGCGGCCCAGGTCATAGGCCACGCCCTTCTGGCCCTGCTGCCACACGCGGTAGGCGTCCAGTAGGAGCGTCTTGCCTGACTCTGTGTCCTCCAAGAGCTTCCTCTTGCGGCTGGGCCGTGGGGGTGGCTCCTCGGGGTGGCTCCCGCCCCGGGCCACAGTGGTAGTGGCGGTGGTGGGGGCTGGCTGGGCTGGTGGGAGTGGGCTGGGCTGCTGCCGGGCACTGATGCTCAGCTCTTCCAGGGACAGCTCCGTGGGTCGGCTATCCGGGACCCGATCCCTCGGGGGGCGGCCTGGCAGCAGGGGTGATGCCCGTTCTGAGTCCAAGCGGCGAGCAGTGGCCTCACCCGTGTCCATGGGCTCGGTGGGCCCAGCCCGGGGGTTCTCCTTGTCTTTCCGCTCCCCACCTTGGTCTGTGCTGTCTCCTGCATCCACGGCCACTGGCCGGTGGTTGAGGGGGCCCACTTTGCCCCCTGGCTCGGCCCCTGGCCCTGAGCCATCAGCCAGAGGGGGCTTCTTGGGGTTGGGGAGGCCCTCTTGGCCATCTTCGGGACTGGCCTTGTGGGAGATGTCAGTGGTCATCCTGGCTCCAGGGAAGCCACAGGCCGTGGGCCCTGGGCGTTCTGACCCCTGTGAGAAAACCGAAGGTCAAAGACTCCATGTCTTTGGTGTCTCTGCGATGATGATGCATCCCTGGACACCAGGTGTGCCCACCCTGGGGGTCTCCCACCCAAGGCCACTCTCGTTCTGCCCATCTGCTAGCTGGCCAGGCCTAGACCCAGAGACCTGCCTGTGGAAGGCCCTCCCTGCTCTGGACCTCCGGCCTGGAGAGGGGCTCATGGGGCTCTAACGGCTGGCATTGCTCCGGAAGAACAGGCCTGGCCTGCCTGGGGGACTTCCTCTAAATGTGGGCCTCAGAGCAGCCCTGGGTATCTGACAGGGAGGTGATCTGCCAGGGGCCACCAGGCGTGCTCGCCGCAGAGCCGAGTCCTCCTGTTCTGCACTCTCGTGCCCCTAATGCACAGAGGCTAGGGTGCGGATCTCAGGGAGTGACACCCTGAGCCCCTGCACCACAGCCGAGCTAGTCCTACTGGGCAGGGGATCTGCAGCCAGCCTGCCCAGCTCAGGGCCCCAGCTGCTAGGCTGGTGATCTAACCTCCCAGGTCTCAGGGTGCTCAGCTATGAAATGGGGCAAGGACTGCAGCTACTTTGAAGGGTGAAAAGGAACTGTGCGCATGGTGCTCTCAGTGGCCTTGCCTCAGGCCACCCTGAGCTGGCTGGGTGAAGGCAAGGGGACGGCCAACTCGCCATCTGCTTCATTATTAGAAGTCCTTTGAGCAGGGGGTGCACTGCTCAGGTAGCAGTCTCAGGGAGCATCACTATCGTCCTCATTGACCATGAGTCCACGGTGACTAAGCACCTCATTAAGTGCCTGCAAATTCGTTATCGTGCTGACCTTGTCAACCTGGAAAGGTAGGAGGGTGCTACTTCACAGCTGGGGACAGGGGACCTGCCAAAGGCACCGGTGTGTGAGTGGCAGGGCCGGTGCCAACTTCTGGGAGAGGAGAGGGGTTGCGGGTGGCGTACCTCTGCAAGCTCGCTCAGTGTGTCCTCCAGCACCTTCACAGTGAGGATGAAGGCCCGCTGAGCCAGGACCTGGCGGTCAGCATCTCGTAGATACTTCCTGCAGACACACGGGGTGGTCAGAAGGGACGGCAGAGTGTCAGAGCCACACAGCAGTCCTGGATGGTGGCCTGTGCCCCTCCTTGCCCTCAGAAAGCCTGCTGGTCCCTCAGCATTCCACTTGCTCACCTGCTTTGGGTCCAGTCCCCAGAAGCCTGCCCTGAGCCTCTTCCCTTCACACCTAGCACAGGCTATCCTGGGCCCTCTGGGCCTGGCTGTGAGCACGGTGGGCAGTGCCAGGCTCAGTGAGAGCTGGGGCCCTCTGGCTTCTCCCCCACAAGCCTGTCTCCACTGTGCCCCAGGCCCCAGCTGATGGCCCCTCCCAAGCTCCTGGCACGCTGTAGGGGAATGAGACAGTGAGAAGGTGAGGCGGTACAGGTATGCAGGACAGTGGCTGGCCTAGTTGGCAGCACAAGGCCTCACAGCTGGGCCGGACCATGTCTGAGCTGCATCTCTCCCAGGATCCTGCTACAATCCCTACAAGTGGCATCTGCAGCAGACGTTCCTCAGTCCTGGGTGTCCCATCCTTTCTGGCAGAGGGATCCCTGGTTACCTCTGAGGCCCAGGCCCCCTGTTGCCTGGCTCACTGTTGCTAGCCCCACCTGGGGTGCCTAGCTATCATTTGGACACCTATTTTCCCCACAACCTGACAGCACCCCTGAGAGCCCCAAGTTGGGGGCTAGCAGGAGTTAAGAAGGGCTGGAGTGTCCAGAATCTCAAAGTGGAAACCAAATTCAATGGGGAGAGCTTGTGTTCACGCTGGGTGCCCAGGGCAGGCGTGCCTGGTGGCGGGGGAGATAGTGTTTTGGTTCCAGATACTGGCACAGAAAGGCTCCTGAGGATAACGGCTGGGCTGGGCTCCCAGGCCAGCATCCACCAGAGGCCCCAGACGGACAGGATGGAAGGCTCCAGCCAGTGCGTGTGCTCCCACTGACCTACAGCACTGCCAGCCGCTCCCAGGGGCTGACTGACAGTGCCAGGCTGGCTTGCCATGCCAGGCTACTGCACTCACTTGCCCTGGTCCGGGGTCCGCTGCAGCATGGAGGACACCTTCAGCAGGGTGCTGTGGTCCCGGAGCTGGGCCAGCACCTTGAGCAGCAGCACGATGGAGCGGTTCATGTGCCAGGCAAAGCTGCCTGGCCGGTCAATCTCGTCCACGGGGATCCGCCAGATGCCCTGTGGGATGGACAGGGCAGGCGAGTGAGGAGGGCTGCCGCAACTGGAGCCTGCCACGGTGCTGGAGGGGACTCTGCCCAATCAAGGGCTCCTCGAATCCCTCTTGCTGTTCTGAGGGGCATGGAATGCAGCCATCCCCACTTACTTCTTCCCACAAACGATAGCAAAGGATACCCCCCACTGTTCCGCACCCTCCTCTTTTCGACAGCTGCGTGGCACAAGTGTACCTGATCCGCCCCTGGGGGAAGCACGCAGGTTGTGCTGACTAAATGAACAACAGACCCGAAGCCCAGTGCCCATGCATCTCCGCACAGATGCTGACTCAGCCACGGGATCCATTCCTAGTGGTGAACTGATGGATCAAAAGGTGGCCGCCTGAATGAACGTCCCTGTGCCAAAAGGTGAACGTCTGAATGTCCAGCCCTGGTGCTGACTAGATAGGCTCCCGCATGTCCCGTCCACGTGCACTCCCTCTAGCAGCGCCGGCCGAAAAGGACCTGTAACTCCCAGGCTCCCACCTTTGTCCAGCAGCTCTGGCTGGGACCCTCTCCCTCACGTCTTGACCATCCAACCCCACTGTCTGAAGGCTGACCTGGGGCAGGGCTGGCTCTGGGGAGTGCCACCACCGTCTCCCTGTCTGTGCTTGGCCTGCTGCAGCACCGGGCACCCTGCCCATCACCAGCTCCAGGGTGGGTCCTTGCAGTGTCCCCGCGCCCACCATGGCGTCTGACACCCACTTGGGTCCAGTCAATATGTGGGAAAGACATGGATGACCAAGAGAGTGAATGACAAGTAAATGGAAGCTCTACCTCCTGAGCAGGCCTGAGGCTGTGGGGCCTGGACATTAGGAATCATGTCTCTGGGGCAGGACCTCGGGGTCTGAAAGGAGCTGGCAGGCTCCCAGCTGGGTCCCTGTAGCCAACACCTTAGAGAAATTCCTGCCCAGAATGGTCCAGAGTGACACTGCCTCCTCCGCATGGGGCCCATGGCGGGTGTCCAGGTGGTGCCCCTCCCAGGGCCCTGTTTCTGTGGGTGCTCGATGACCGTTCACAGCACCCACCCTGCTCCAGCAGTCCCGGGAGGGAAGCCAGGGCACCTCCAGTCCTGAGCCACTCAGCCAAGAGAGGAGCTGAAAACCCTCAGCTCTGGGTCCCTGGAGCATGCACGCTGTGGCACTGGGCTCGCCCGGGCAGGCTGGGGGTTCGTGGGGAGGCTGCAGCCACCTGCCATCTCCAGCAGTGCCAAACGAGGCACCAGCTGCCCCTGTGCCATCCAGACAAAACCAGCAGGCTGTGGCCACCCTCGCCCAGGGAACTGACACTGCAGCTGCATCTTCCTACCAGGCAGATATGGCTTCTGCAACAGCTCAGGAAAAGTTGCCACTAGAGGGGCTGATGGACAACTCAAGCAGGGTGGCCCCAGCACCTGCCTCCAGGTATGATGGCAGCAGCCAGGAAGGTGCTTTCTGTCACCTGCCAGGCTCAGCAGTATAAGAGTAAGGAAGAGCCTGGCCCTTCTGAGGCACTACAGAAATCACCGTGGGCCTCACCACAGCCTCGCAGAGTACACAGCAATGCCAGGGAGGGTGGAGCTCAGAGACGAGGAGCGACTCCCTCAGGGTCATACAGGTGAAGGGTGGCCCCAGGGTTGGCCTCTCACCACCCTGCAGCTCTGAAGACAGGGAGGAGGAGCTCACTGAGCCCCAAGGGAAGCTTCCACCACCTGCTCTGGCCCTCCACTGCCAGTCTGGAGCTCCTCTCCACACCTGGCAGGAGAGGAAAAGCCTGAAGCACGGCCGACCACGTGCCGAGGCTGTGGGCGCGTGCCAGGGCTGGCTCAGGGCCACAGGCCAAGCTGGGGATCTGGGTGTGACTCCGCTGCTCCAGAACCTCACTCCTCCTCAGGCACAGAGGGACGTGCTCTGCTCAGCCCTGTCAACCAGGGTCCAGAACGACCCTTAGTGTCACTGAACCCCCCTCTTCCCCACAGAGGCTCTCAAGACTCAAAGGACACGTAGAGGTTACTCTTCCTCCCATGCCACCCCTGCCCTCCAGGCCAGCGGAGCCAGGGCAGAGGCTAGGGGAGGTGAGGAGGTCTGCAGACAGGCCTGCCAGGGACTCATCCTGGCTGTGGGGTGGGCAAGGCAGGGGGCCTCAGACACGGTGCCAATGCCTCGAGAGGCTCCCAGGCATGTGGCGGGCCAAGGCATCAATGCCTGTCCCCCACACCGTGCCAGTGGGGCGCATACCTCAGCCTGCGCCTCAGGAGGCTCCCACTTCTGGAGCGGGCCCACTGCATCTTTTGTTAATTATCAGAAAAGGCTCCTTCTTCACACTGTGCTGGAACGCACAGGGTGTGCCTGCCCCCTGCACCCCGGTAACCCTCTGCCCCAGCCCAGGCCCCCCCCGACTCCGCCCCAGCCTTCCACTCTCGTCCCTCACACCACCGCCCCACTGGGGCCAGGGTAAGTTTGGAAAAGGATAATGTGGCTGCATCCCTCGCCTGCTCACGCCCTAGACAGCTCCCTTCTCCCACCTCTGCTAAAGCTGGAGCCATACGGCCCTCGCACCTCTCCTCCTTCGCCTCTAGACACTCACCACCCCCTCTCACAGCCGTGCATTTCGTGCTGCACACCTTTTCTGGGGTCCTCCTCCCTCCTCTGCCCAGCCAGCTCTCCTGCATCCTCTGGGCCTGGCTGTGACGCTGTCTCCTCTCTGAAGCCCTCCTGGCTTGCTGCCCTCCTAAGACTGCCAAGACCACCAGAGGTCAGCCCTTCAGATGTTGTGGGGCAGGTCTGTGCCTGGGAATGCATCTGGGCTAGAAGTGGGTCTGCTTCAGCTCTGGGTCCCCAGGGCCCTGACACAATCCTGGCAGAGCAGGCAAGGTGCCTGGTTTGAAAAGGGTTTTCTGCTCGGGGAAGCCTAGCACCCACATCTCCCTGCCAGCCCCCACCCTGGAGATCTCCAAGGGCGGCAGAAGAGTTCTCCTCACAGAGAAACTAATGCTCTTCAGAGTTCTGGGTGTGCATGTGGGCCCTACACTGGGTGGGGCGCCTCGTGGCTGAAAAGGCAACGACAAGAAGTTGCTAACACCCCACAGTGAGCAGCACGCTCACCAGGGGCTGGCAGGACCTCAGGCTGCACACGGGCGCACTGGACAGGCTCCTGGTCAGGCGAGGGCCGGCTCTTCTCTCTCCCCTGAAAATGGGCCCAAGGAGGCGCTGCCGAGGTTAAATGCCTCTGGTCCTCTGCAGGGTGGGCCAGGCAGGCATAATGGACTCAACAGATGGCACGGGGCATGGGTAGGGCCCCTGCAGAGAGGGATCCCAAACTCCTGCTCTTGCTCCCAAGTTCTGGAATCAAAGATCCAGGGCATTTACCTGGTTTTTTTCCTTTGGGGGTGGGTGGGATGTGCCAAAATGAGCCAATGAGTACGCTGAAGAAACTCCCTAAAGGCCCCATCATGCCACCCCCTGAAGTGACTGTGAGGGGCGGCCTGACATTGCAGCCCCCTGGGAATGGGATGGAGGTGGGGGCTGTCATCTGTTCCTTGAAGCGAGGCAGTGTCTCAGTTAAGACGCTTTCTGGCACACTGAGGTGCGTCTGCCTGCCACCTGCTCCCCATCATGCCACGGAACGGCTCGCCTGCCTGTCCCACCCTCTGGGACTGCCTTCTCCACCCCCACCTTCCTCCTGTGACCCCTTCCCAATTCCTAGGATGCTGCTCTGGGCACTGATCCATCTGGTGGCATCAGAGTTACACAAACATGAATGTTTTTAAGCACACTTAGCTAGCTGAAGCTGCTCATTGTATAGGTGGGAACCTGAGGCCCAGGGAAGGGCAGTCTGTCCCTGGCCACTCTGCCCAGTGACGGGTCCCTGCCTCCAGCCATACTGCTGGACTGCAGCCAAGCCCGGACTGCACATGGATTCCCTCCTCACGTCCATGGTCACGGGGCCACCTTCCACCACAGCTACTGATGGAGCGCCTGGCAGAACAGCCTCTCCACGGGCCAGGATGCACCCTGTGAGGACAGGTCTAGTTTGCATCACATGCGTCAGGGCACAGTTTGGATCCCTTCACATGCGGGCTATTATCCACTTCTTTTCCAGACGTGTGTGCACAGACGTAATGTAGTACCACCTATTTCAGAAAGGCTGGTAGACCAAACAAACCAGGCAGTAAGTTCACAGAAAACTAAAAGGGAACCACTGACACCATAAGCCCTGGGGAGGTTCCTGCAGCCATGAGGCTGGCCTCCAGGGACAGCTGGCCTGAGGGTGCAGAACCACGAGGCAGAGTGACAAACTGGCAGCGTGGCGAGCAAGCCAACTCTGCTTTCTGCCTAAGCAGGCAATGCTGGGCTTGTTTGTAGCCAAAGCCCCAAAGACACCAGCGGCCCCAAGATGGGTGGGATACGTCCCGTCCTCCACAGGGGAGGGGAAGAAGCCAAAACACACCTTCCACAGTGCCCCTCAGGAAAAGACAACCCTCCCACACTGTGCCTGCGGAGGGCTATGAAGCCCTGAGTGAGCCAGGGCACTAGGTAGGGTTGCCTACGGAGGGCACAGGCACTGGGTGGCGGACGACCCCAATGTACCCACCCTAGGGGGCATGCATGGAGGTATTAGGGAGGGTGCGGGGACGTGCCAGGGGGTGGCTGAGGGAGAGCAAGCCAGAGGCTGATGAGAAGGGAGTGGGCAGCAGTGCCTGAGAGGAGGACTGGGCAAGAACAGACTGAGGGAGGCCAGCACTGGGGACCTGAAGGAAAGGCTGAAGCAGGATCAGAAATGGATGAGAGCACGAGTGGGAGCCAGGGGCAGCAGGGACCCCATGAGGAGGGGCTGAGATGGGGCTCAGCGTTGAGGGAGGAAGGCAGCACTGGTGCCAGGCTAGTTCTCCTGGTTCTCCCCCTGCGCCCCTGCCTGGCTGCCCTCCTGTCCTGCTGCTCTGGCCTCCCTGCAGACTCCCCTCTTCCTGGGTCCCAGTCCCTGCCTGGG